AGTGCATTGATTTCAGTAACGGTACAGATACGACATTGTGCTACACAGCGAGCGGGTCAAGTCAGATAAAAGGGTTGCTGCCCTGGCTGCGGCTGGCAGGGTAAGCAGGAGGGATGCTGGACGCATTGTTGCCGGCAGCGTGGAACTTGGTGAACACCACCTCCCTGCCCCTCACCGACTCGTGCAATGAACCGCACATGCCAAGGGTATTCAGTTGACATTCGAGACTACAATTTCAGTGTATTTGTAGGTAGAGAGGAGGTATAAATCGCTCATAGACGCCTGGAGTGACGCCTCAATATACAGGCTGTCGCCACCGAATGACTTGTTGCCGTTGAGGGGATTGTACTCATCGTCTTCCAGGTCTTGAGGTTGAAGAAGGACTGGGATCGGGGTCTCAGTGGAACCAGCAATGCGAACCCAAGAACGTGCTTGCGCATATTCGAAGGTGCGGTACGCCTCAGCTAGGGTTGCATATCCACGAAAGATACAGTTGCGAACACCGGTGACAAGGGGTTTCGCCTGCGCCCAGTGCACAGTGATGCATCAGCGAATGCCGACAGACGAGACAAGAGACTTACCAGGAATGAACAACTCCAGTGTCTGTGCCACAGAAGATAACATAGGCGGCTGTGACGGTGGAGGATCTGTTCGGACTGCCCTGCTGGACGCGATGAACACTAGCATAGGCGACGCCCTGGGTGGCAGCACCAGCAACAGACCTAAGGGTAGGAATGGAGAAGTTACTTGTTGCAAGAAGGAAACAGGTGGGTACATACCATTGTCTGGTGTACTGGAATCAAAGTAATAGACAGGCTCACTGGATGAGTGGCTCAGTTGGCTGGACAGCTGTGTTCGACGAGGAACAGTCGGGTTGGCTCGTGGATATGCTCCACAAAGGGTGGTCGGGCTGGATGGCGGTTCTGCGCGAGGGCGCGGACGACGCAGGGTGTTGGGGCGAGGAAGTGGGCCGGTAGGAAAAACAGAATACGGTGGAGGCGAGGGAGTACATGGTGGATCAGAATTGTCGGGGCGGATGTGCAATTGCGCTAGGAGGGACAATAGTGTCTGGTTGTCACCATTTTCCGCGCACTCATGCAGGTTGGTCATGGCAGGAAAGTCGCTGCGGCTGCTGCTGACGCCAGGAGAGACAAGGGAACGGCCACGCAGCTGATGAAGGAGATGATATCAATTATCAGGAAATTACATCAGACGACTGCACAACAATCAGAAAGAAGTCAAAACACACCACATGCTTGTTGAGGGATTCAGGGATGTCAGAAGAGGACTGGAGCACGAACGAGAGCGCAAAGGATAGCAGATATTGAGGGCCAGAGGGCGGTTCATGGTGAGGAATAGTCATTCAAAGCTCAGCAAGTTTGTGGTACAAAGGTTGTGGAAGCCGGTGGAAGCAGGTGGAAGAAAAGAAGGCACACTGATCGGCAACCCTTTCTGGATGGATCGGTATCGGGATCAGAATATGATGGGGGCGGTGCTGTCTTGATTTGGCGGGACACCGGATACATCTCAAAGATACTTCAATTATTCCCACAATATTTCACACAATATTTCACGGTTGCATTAGCTCAAAATACGTGACGGAACAAGACGGAAGCAGTAGACTACGCGAGCACAAGAGGCGGGAACACTACCTGAAGGGGAATTTAGCAAAACAGCATCGGACCCTGAAAGTGAAAGTGAAACTCACAATCAGGCGAGAATTGCGACCATCTGGTACCGGAGCATGCTGTTAAACTCGAGGACGGCGACGGACTGAGTCTTGTGGCCGGAGACACAAACACTGGCACAAAACGTGAGGGCGTTGCGTTGCTGGTGGTGATGCCTACAAATTTCCCCTAGCCAGAGCTTGCCCTTGGCGTTCTCCTCGACGATGGCCATCAGAGGGGAGGTGGGAACAATGATGTACAAGCCGCCAACAACTCAAGGGCCGTGGGGGAGAAAGCGATGATACTGGGGGGTGCGGGGGCATCGGGTTCGGGGGCATCGGGTGCGGCATTGGGCGCGAGAGGAGGAGCCACGGCAGGGGCGGCAGCTGTAAGGGCACGATGATCAGACGGTGGATATACACTGGAGAAACCACTTGCCTTGAGCCTGAGAAAGATTGGTGATGGCCACAGTCAATTGCTGGAGAGCAGCGACGGTACTTGCTGAGAGGATGCGTTAGATGGGGAACATGGAGGGGAGAAGTGACTCACCATCGCTACTAGGACAGAACCTGTTCCGGGAGCGACGGGAGAAAAATTGGTCATGGTGGGGGAAAAGAAGAGGGATGATCTTGGAAACGGACACAATTGTTGCTTTTATAGGGCGTAGGAAATTGAGACTCCGAAGATGATGGTCGCACAAGGATGACTGAGTCTGGATGGTCGAGATAAGTGAGGAGGCTTAGAAAAATAATGGGAACAAACAAAGTTACCTTGTGACAGGCAGACCACAACCACACAACTACGCCCCAGTTCTTAGCGACAGAGACACCTGTGAGTAGTTCGGTTGAGCGAGAGACAGAATAAATGCAGATGAACAGCGTGCAGGAAAAGTGAATATGGGCCGCAGCAAGAAGCGTGAAACTGTGCGCATTCCCAGAGCAGATCACGAAAATCTGCGGCTGTGGGCAGAAGGGGCCCGAGGGACAATCCTCCAGCCTCATATTGATGGGTACATGGCAGCATTGGACCAAGGATGGCGGCAGGAGCGAACATATGTGAAGAAAGTCTGTCTCGAGTTCCATGCCCGAGTGAGTTGGAGAACACAAGATCATGAAGAGCCCGTGCTGGACGAGAACTGGGATCCAGCCACAGTGACGCAGAAGAGCCAACCTTTGCCCGAGGAGGAGGAGAAGTTAAAACGAGCGCGAGTGAAAGTGCTGGATAAAGTGAGTCACATGATTACAGAATTTCCTTTTTCGAATCTCATGAGCGTCTCCAATGAATTCGACGCTGGTTCATGTACTGTATCCGCCATATCCGCAAGCATCACTCCTCAGCTGGTCTAGACCCCACAAAAGACCCATACACCATACTACTCGCTAAGCTATCTGGTTTGTCTGCGCCACCGAAAGCAAGACAAGCCTTCCATCTACAAAGCCCCAAGACTGTCAGAGGTAAGTCCTTTGCGCGCACATTATAGCTAACACTTCTTTGTGAAGATGCATTGACACCATCCCCGATTTCGTGGCTCCAATTCTGCGGGGACTTGGTGAGTACACAGGAATGCATGCGACACTTATAATGGGGGGGCCTATGCCGAAGTATGGCGGAGATATCCGGACCGTGGAGTAAGTACTCGTGCCTAGTCAAATTGTTAACCTAATCTTTACACTTTCAGCACTTCTTACGGACACAACCACGTGGCCATACCTACGCACTGGGGTCAGTGGGATACACCTCGTTTCCAGCACCAGGTGGCGGACTTCATGATCGAGTTTCTTCAGACTGCGTACAGTACGTGAGAATTCTTCATCTGTATTCACCAGCTGACCAGCGTCTTGACAGGTCCCGAGGATTGTGCCGATGCTGCACTTACAGCTGTCAGCGCGCTGTCCGGTGCAAAGTACCGCATCGACGAGGCAAAGCAGAATCAGTCCGACTCCGACTCCAACTCTGAGCCGTCGTCATCGGGCTCCGATTCGGACTCTGAGGGGGATAGAGGCAAAAAGCGCCAGTGCAGGAAGAACAAGGGCAAATCCGGAAAGCAGGCAGCAGCAGCACCAACACCATCGGACTCGGATGACGAAGACCATGGGCGCGAGCAGAAGAAGGTCAGATTCACCACGAAAACAACAGCATCCACCGTGCCCATCTACGAGGACGGCCTCACATACGACCAAGTCCGAGACCACAACATGAAACAAAACACCGCCTCGCTGGCCGCGATCAAAGCCAGCCAGGAACTCGCAGCTCCCACTCCCACCCCTGTAAAGCCTCGTCCAAAGCCCCGCCCTCGCAAAACGGATGTCAGCTCAGCCCCAAGGCGCACTTCGACGCGCAGCTTCACATGTCACACGAGCAGCAAAAGCCCGACCTTAGCGGAGGAACCCTCCACCTCGACCTCATCCCAGGAACTCTCCGCCTCGACCTCTGCGCCGATGACATCTGATGCATCACTGTCGTTGACGACAGCGGTTTTTGAGCCAAGCACCTCTCCCACTTTGATGCCTGCACCAATGTCTCTCCCCACACTAACTCTGAGTTCTGATATCACCCCGGCGCCAGCACATGCTGCCTCGCCGCATTCATTGTCGGGTGCAGCAGCGCCGTCCGCCCCAGGCGCATCACTCAGCTTGACGACAACTCCACCCGCCATCATGCCAAGCATTCTGGTCCCATTCCCTGCCAAAGCAGCCGTCTGGTTCGTCGAGGCGCGAGCTGAGATGACCAAGGTCGACTTGGGCTGCCACTTCCAAGCGTTACTGACCGCATGGACTCGCGTCGAGGATGCGTCGCGTTTCGAACATGGCCCACAGAATCTTGCTGCCAATGGGCACCCGACGGAACTTAAGACCCGGATTGCGCGCAAACGGGGCAAGACCGGACCGGACCCTATTGTCACCGACCCATCAGCATACACTTTGACGTGGCAGGGCTGGTGGGACAGTTTGCAGCCGGCTTCGGGGGAGAAGAGTGAGGGGAGTTTGGGTCATGCATGGACCGTACGGCCCCGATGGGAAGGAATGGGGTGATTTGTATGGATGGGGTGTCAACGGTACGCTGACCATCATCACCTCCCTCTATTTCTGGGGCGTGGCAGTCATCGACGATACCGGGGATCTTAAGCCGCCATGGGTTGCCGCCGTGAACAATGTTTGCTGGATCATGGAGGGCTTAGCTACTTTTTACGAGATGTTCAACAAACGGTTTGATTTTGCTGTCTCTTTGTATATTCTGGAGTCCTTGAAATCAATAACGGGTGCCATATGAGAGAGAGAGAAAAAAACTTGGAAACAAACAAGTGATAGAAAAAAATTTGAAGCCTTATATATACAACCAGGGCCGGATTCGAACCCACGTAAGGTGCAGAGAATTATATAAAGAGCCGCACCCGCTGAACCACTTAGCTACCTGGCCGGCAACAGCTTTCAGAATGGGCACTAGGTAGTATTTGGATCACAAATAAAATGCAAAAGAAACTTCAACTGGTGAAAAAATTAAACCCCAAGAAAACGGCCAGGGTGGGAATCGAACCCACATGAGATACAGAAGTTATTGCGAACCATCAGCAGACGTACCTACTGAACCACTCAGCCACCTGGCCGACAGTTAACATCGTTATCAGTCGCCCAGGTGCGACACGCGGGTGGGAAACAAAACTCACTAAGTCCAATGACATTAGATTTTTCATTTTTCATTTAGCCGGGCCGGCGGAAGAGGGGCGGGACCCATCACGTGGTTTGATCGGTGGCGCGCACGGCGTAGCGGGCGCATGAACGCTTATGTGGCGCGCACGGGTCCGCCAAATGTGCCTAAATTTTCATAGCCATTTAGGGTAGCCCCGGGTAAAATTATCCCAGGGCAGGCTGGGCGGGATCGCAAGGGGAATGTGGACCGTGGGAAACGCGCCCGATGTGGGGACGGCGGAATCGGATGCAGATAAGCAATTTGGGGTAGGACATCGTGGGATGATCCTGTGCAAACAAAAACGGGCAGGGAATAATTCATGCGCAATGTGGATTTCATTTTTTCCCCCATATTCCCATCATACTGTAAATACATGCAAAGGGAATCTACAGGTCCTGCAGACGCCACACGTGGCAATTTTGCGCTGTGTGGGTGCTGCTCGGTACTAGCCAAGCAGTTGGCTAGGACCATGCGTTAAGTTTGAATGCCAATCCATTCGCTAGCACCATGTCTTTTTGAATATATATTAAGACTATGGAACTGAATACGGAGTGGATATGGCTTGTTGATAATCCCGCCGACTGAAACGGACGAAAGTCAACTCGATACTTGCTCGATACAGGCCCTGGCTCGCCTGGATTCCCTGTCCGATTTCAGAGCGACGATGCGCGAGTAGGATGGGACGGGTGGCATACAGACGGGTCTCCTTCGGAAGAATTCCAATCGCTTCGAACGTGAAACGACGGTCACCTGTTGGCAAGTTTTCTTAGTGAATGAAGTTTGTGCGAAAAAGAAATCGTCATCACCTCACCCGCAAAATGGACCGCTTCTCGATGGTCTTTCGCCAAGTTCAGCTTGCATAAAAGTTCTTCGAGATCCCGCCATTGAACTGGAGGCTAACTCCGTGGGCGCACTCAGGCTCTCGAGTCTCGACTCGGAGTCGACAAACGCCGGCAAAGTACTTAGTTGGTCTTCGGTCCCACCGGATGCGCCTCTCCATGGAGCTCGTCGAATGTGAGAACAGCATGTTTCAAGTTGGGTCTCTGGGTGGCTAGAACGTCGGCGATGCTTTCGAAGCAAGCTGCAACATTTTCCTCAACCTCCGACACCTTGAGCTTCCAAACGAAGGCACGATGGGAGGAACCGTTGTCCGTTTGCGTAATGTTGACATGCTCGGAAGACCCAGGGGCGCGGTGGGCAAACTCTGTGATTCTGTTTCAACCCATCTTCCCCAATAGAATATCCCGAAGATTGTCCCGCTCCGTGTAGTTCTTCGGTTGATATGTCCCCTCTGCGGCCTTATCATACTATACGAGGACACCTCGAACTCCGACATCTCGCCCCAACTACACTCGTACAATGCAGTCGACATTCTCAACTTCACCGCTGCCAATCGCTCGAACGAAACGTTTGTGATCCGATAGTGAACGCCCCTGGACTGTGATTTGCCGCGCCGCATGGAAACCACGTATGTAGACGAAACTGCTCGATCTGCTGAGATGGGCAGCCGGGCTCATACGCATGGTGTAAGCTTGCACCGATACCGTCCTTGGCGCGGTCCAGGATCCCTGGAGAGTTTGTTGTTTTGGCAGGTCCGCGCAGGCACGACAGTTAAATTGGCCATCCCGGCACATCTTCTGACAATCGGTGGATCGCGAGGTGAGAGTTCCACCGACATTGCGGGTAAACGTCGACGGGAGGCTGAGAATGTCGTAGAGGGCGTACGAATAATCCGAGCTCGCAAATTTCCTCGGCCCGCTACATGGGAATTGAAATCCGGGCAATGCCTGGGTGTCTTGCGAGAAGATGGTTCACGGAAGGACGGCAACACGGTGGTAGCGGTATCATTGTACGACTTCCGTCGAGCTCAATCACGCTGGGCGTGCGGTGGTCTGTTGGGATATGATTTATACCCACCACATCCTGGGGGAGTGATACATCGCCGGCTCTGACGAGAAGAAAATGCGCGATGCATCAAAACCTCTAATCAGAGGAGTTGGCGATGCATCGTCTTAGAACCATACCTATTCAAGTGGTTCCGCCTACAGCCTACGATCAACGACGAGCTTATTGCCCTACTCGCTGTGATGCCAGTAACCGCATTTAGAGGACATCCATCAAATGCTCTCACCGTCGTCTGCAACGACGGGTATGAAAATTGAACTTAAAATCACCAAAATAATATATAGTATGCGGATAACAGTTCGAAAACAAGGTACGACGAAAGGGGAGCAAAAATGCACTTCAGAGCAGCATAAAACTCCAATGATCAATATTGCACGGGGTAGCTAAATCTGTGCCTTCGAGCGGCCATGCAGGTTCGTCGTACGAAGGAGAACTAGTAGAGCATAGTGATGGTCCACGGAGAGCACTGCCCGGAAGATCGCGCGTGTCAGGGAAATATTTGCAACCTTCCCAGCCCAGTCTCAATTTGAATCCTGCGCAATCGCATTTACAGCGCAGGGCGCCGCATGAGCGAACCGTTGGCCAGCCATCCGAACATGTTCGAGGGGACGAGCATACGGTTTTGGGGCCACCAGGGGAATACGGAGCTGCCACAACGCGCTTCCATCCAGCTGTGCCAATGTGTGACCAGCGCAGCGGCTTGAGCCCCACAGTACCGTGACAGGTAAGAGGATGAGGAGCGAGAAATGCTGCTGAGGCATGCGTAGTGGCGACAGTTTAAATTGCAAGCATCCGATCTGCACTGATGACTTAATGCAGTGGTCTTAAGGAAGGGAGGGAGACGCTCAGAAGCGTCGCTGCGCGACTGCGAATGAATGGGGATCGTGGTGGGTAGCACGGAAGCGCGGCATTCGCTTTGGATGTGTTTTCGAGGCTGGCGCGAATCTGAAAGCATTGAAGGCGTCAGTATCGAGTCCAGCGATAATTCAGCCAGGTGGCAGAAGTTGTAGTGAGGGCTTGATGTACATCAAGCGAGCAGTTGCTGTATCCCGTTCTGTCAACAAAATACAATCCGTCAATTGATGAATACAGTAGAAATAAGGGTTGCAAAGCGCCTTCAACACCTACGACAACCTGTTGAATATAGCGCCGTGCGTAATAGTTCAGGGCTTCATGTCCAATGCCGCAAAATCCGCGCCGGAACAAACCTGTTCGTGTGGTTGACCAAAGTGGGACGTGGAGACGAAAACTGACCATGTGAGCCATAAATACCGTGGAAAATGATCCACGATGCATATACGGAGAGACCACGATCCCCTGGAATGAATCCGGAGGAGGGAAGACACTAGAAAACACTCGTGAACACCAGAATATGTACCGGCCCAATTGTCAACGATTTATGCTGATAGGTTCTGAAAAGTGCACCCCGGAAGTATTGCATGCTTCCTTACGATCTTATTGCTTTGACGGGCCACGGGCACGGAATTTGAAGAAGTTTCGCCTCAAGTCGTGTGGTGGGAAGAGCGAAAGTCAAGTTGTCACTTCGGTGACATGATCACAAATGTTGATGACGCGGTGATCAGGAACACACAGTTTATGTTGTATTCACGTTCAAGGACGCGTTGGACCATATTCTAAGCGACGAAACATCTTTTAATGTAGAACCAAAGCTGACTGTGTCAAAAAAACGCGTGGAATTGAATTTTCTAAAGTGAGGAACATAAAAGATTGCCTCGATCAGACGGAAGATAAGCTTAAAAACATGGTTAAAGCGGGTAGGGGACCTCGGGGGGGCAAGCCAGCTCCAAATATGTACAGGATAATGCATTGAGGGCTACTGGGCAGGAATATGAACTAGAGATATGCTGCTCACCTAAAAAATGAATTTGCTCGGTGCCCAGAACATTTTGAATGATGCCTAATCGCGCGGGACAACTCAAATGTACCTCCCACCCTCGATTACGCGTGATAGACGCGTAAATTCCGATGTTCGAAAAATGAGAAACATAAAAAACGGTCCAAATGAGACCCGAGAAAAATTTACATGGTTGTTTTTATACTAGAATCGAGCTCAGGGAGACGAACCGAGCCCGAGAATATATGAGTTCGTCGGTTTTGAGGTCATTTTTGAAAATCTGCATGGAAGACACAATTTGCAAGTAAAACCTAGTAAGGCTTCAAACCGATGTTCAACCTTGCGATGTACAATGCCCAAATTTTGTGCTCAAATGTTGCGAGTAGCTTTCAAGGAGTGTATAAATGTCTTTTCTCCTTACTTTGCGTCTCCCGAATGCACTAGAAGTCTCCAACAAGCCAAATTTCCATCAAAAGTGTGCCGACCATCAACCGAATTGTGGCTCGTTCGAAACCACGGAAGTCACAGAGCATATAAAGTGGACAGAATTGAGACAGATAGACGATAAGGTACCCGAAAATAATATGCCGTAGGCCGGCAGAGCGGATAACAGATTGAAAACAGGCCATTTCCGGATAAGGTGTATTGGGAATGGTATGCTGGCGAAAATAGGAGTTGTCGCCGTATCAGAAGAGTTGTGTGTCGCATTGCAAATAAAACATAAACGGCTTCCTTGTGTAAACTATAATCACCTCCATATAGTTCCCGAGCAGCAAAAAAGGGGTGTGGGACCCGTGGGAACGGCACAAGGGCGGGATGCCGAAACGGTTGTAGTGAGCGGGAAATACCTCCTGAGGCTGTGATTTGGATGGAACGTTGCTGAAGGTACTCATCGGGCCTGAGAATTTGCGAAAGGGGGCCGTGAATCGCCATAGGGCGCTGGGGATGACGATAAGGGAGAAATGATAAAATAGCATCGTCTGCCTCGGTGGATGCACCAGGTCCCAAAGATACTGCAGGAGAGCTTTAGGGAAATGGTTTCTGTGAACATCAACATAGACGCACCGCATCGTTAAGACCGATAAGAGCTGGCAAGGGCGGTGAACGTTCAGGAAGGCGGGCATACGCGTACATGCAAGATTAGTCCTGGGATAGAG